CGAGGGGTCTGGGGAAGCTCAGGGTGAAGCTCAGGGTGCAGAAAGCTCTTACAAGACCGCCTGGCCCCTAGTGAACACCAGCCCCAGATGCCCCGCCCCCTCTGGGGGCACTGCTGCACTTGTAGGCCCCCCACCGCCCTCACACTGTTTGATGGCTCCAATGCGTCGGCCAAGCCGGGCCCTGGGGCCTAGTCATAGAGGAGGCATCCATTTGTCTTTCTTTCTCTTGGCAGGAGGGGGTGGTGGTGCAAATTGAATTTCAGCTTTTCAGCTTTATCCTTTGTAGTTTTCTGCACAATCCGTCACAACATTTGTACGTCAGGTGACATGGTTTTTGTAGGAAAGGCCCGTGCTTTGGCTCACATGGATGGCTGAGGCCAGCCCTCAGGTCTGTTTCTCCTGTCCCGCATCTGGGCCCTCGGTCATCTTTCATTTGGACATGATTTCATACTGGCAGAAAACATTGCAGAGGCAATGCGGAGAACCAACATACACTCAGAATCACAGTGGCTGGTTCGATCCCACCCCGACTGAAACACACACACACACACACACACACACACACACACACACACTTTTTTTGGGGAATCATCTGTAAGTTGTAGACATGCCCTTTTATCCCAAAGTATTCAGCGTGTCTTTCCTAAGAACAAGGACATTCTCACAGAAACCCCCTGTAACGATCAAACTCGGAAAATTCAGCATGGCTGCAATTGTTTTCTTTCCTCCACAGGCCACACACAATTTCATCTGCCGTCCCAGTAATGTCCTTGGGACTCTCTTCCCCCGATTCCAGGTCACCGCTGGGTTTAATGGCCATGTCTCCTTAGCCTCCCTTTATCTTGGAACATTTCCTTGGCTGTTCTTGACCTTGATGTTTTGAAGAGTCCGGGCCAGTTTTGCTTCATGGAGTGTTGTTCAGTTTGGGGTGGGGCCCTCATTCCTGAAAGTTCACGCCATACCGCTTGCTTTACTTCATGTCCTGTAATCCTTGGTTGTGACTTGTTGGTAATGAGCAAACTAAGGTATAGGGAGGTCAAGTGAATGGTCCATGGCCATGTTCCTAGGAAGTGGCAGGGCTGGGATTTGAATCCAAGGCTGTTTGATCTGCCTGCTCAGCAACACAAGTGGAGACAGTACATAGACCCTGAGAATAACCCAGGGTGACTCAAGCCTTTACTGCACCAGACATTGTACTTGGCGCTCTGCACACCCTGCATGCATCCTTGCCCCGTCCAGAAAGGTAACTGCTCTTAGGAGCCCTGATTTACACATGATCAGAGAGGGTGAGTTGACTGCCCAGGGTGCACAGCGGTTAGCGGGTAGGGACTAGCTCTGACCTGAGCAACCTGTGTCCTGAGCACACTTGTTGCCTTTGCATTCAGCCTGCTGGATCTCATAGCGTTGGGGGCACTACTGACCATACTTCCGTGATGTCACTTGGGATCACTGCTGGGCCAGGCTGGAGGCTTCCACCAGCTTTGCTGACCTTGCAGGAGAGTCACAGATGTACCTGAGTCAATGTCTTTCCCCCAGGCCTTTTCCAGAGGGAGCAAACACATCCCAAGCCTGGGTCCTGCTCTCAGGGGCTTCTTGGGGGACAGCTATCCTGTCCTCTGCTGCTACAGGTGCCGTAGTCCACTTCTGTGGTCTATTTGCAGTGAACAGATGGCATTTTGATGATTTTAAAGTCAGGAATTCCCATGCAGTCACTCTTCTCACAGCCAGAGCTCTCTCTTGCCAAGCGGCTCAGGGCCTGCACCAAGAAGGTGGCCGGTCCTGGCTGCTGTCAGTGTGCCCACTTGGCCCCACTGCCCATGCAGCATCCAGGTGGCATTCAAGGCCAGCTGCACTGACAGTGTGGCCGCCATGCCCTCAGTGGAGCTGCTGATTAATTATTCAGTGTTGTATGCCACATTCCATGCCCCTCACCTTCCTGTTGGAGATAAGAAGCTGATACGGCCCTGCCTTCAGATTGTGTAGAGGACACTTGGGTACAGGACTCACTTACTCACTTGGAATACCACTGGCAGAGCAAGGGGGTCCCTAAGCACAACAGAAGAGGGCTCCTCTCTGGACCCCAGTCTGCTTTTCACCTCCAGGGCACCGTGGGGTCCTGGGTCTGCCTGTCACAGGCACTCCAATCCCTTACTCATCTGAACACAGCATTGGGCCGCACCAGTGATCCCAGGCCCCATCAGGGAACTCTCGTCAGCATCCGGAGAATGCCTGCAGCCCCCAGTTCACATGCGGCATATCTCCGTGTACTGCAGAGCAGGTGGATGTCCCATCCTTGGGACCAAGCGTCAGGCGGGAGGTTCTGGAAGTAGCAGCCACCTCCCCCTTTAGGCCCAGGACCCAGGCACCTGCTACACATCGGGCCTCCCTCTGCACCCCAGCTCTCTCCTCTGCTGAGATTGACGGATTCCTGTACTATACCAGTCTCCTTCATCCCTGGCTCATCTCTGTGGATGGGAAGTGACCGGACTGCCTGCCAGACCCAGTGTATCGAGGCAGGGCTGTGACCTTCCCACTCTGACCTCCCTGGCTGGCTCAGGACTCCTCCCCCCATCCCTCTGGCAGCGAGCACCTGGCTGGACTGGCTCCCAGGAGAAACTTGGAAGTTTTAGCTCTTCGTTTTCCATGGAACATTGCTCCGGGTGTGTGTGTGTGGCTTAAAACATTAATTAAAAACATTAATCAATTTGGCTGCCTTGGAAAGAGGTTCTTTTTCTGTAAGAGCTGATGTTGTGTGTTATTGCTGCCCCCTTTCAAGGAAGAGGGAGTGAGCTCACAGACCAGAGATGCAGCTGCAAGTTCCTCCTCAGCCCCGCTGACCTTCTGTTCCCACATCTGTAAAATGGCGATGAGGTTTACACGGTGACCTGGCCTCCTCGGGTCACTGCGGGTGCTCAGTGTGGTCCTGTGAGGACATTCCTTAGCAAAGTGTTCTGTGAAGATGGCGCTTGTCAGTGGTGGTGTTGATGTGATTCAGTAAGGTGCTCTAGCACCTGACTGTTTGTAGAGCCCCTCCTGCGTGCTCTATCTTGTCTAACGCTGGTGGCACAGCTGGGAGACGGGTGAATGTTGTGGTCCACCGCATGGATTCTGATGGGCTTTGCTTGTTCCCTCTGCCCCGAGTGCTGAGCCCCTGCGCTGGATAAGTCATCGTGCTGAGGTAGGAGGAGGGGGGCCTTTTCCCCCTCATTGGGAAGAGACCAAGAAGTTCAGGCCTGAGCGTTGGCTAAGTGGTGTTTCTAATAGCTGATTATTCTGAGTTTTCACAACCTGGCAGACTCAGTGCTGAGCTCTGCAAAGATTCTCACTGAAGACTAAGAACAAACCTTTAGGATGAGAAACAGGTTTGGAGGGTAACTTGCTCGGGCTCCATAAAAAGACTCTTGTAGACCTGGAATGCCTATCCAGGCGGTCTAACAACCAGGAGCTGGGTTGCTGCCTTTTCCAGGCAATTAGGTGAGTGCATTTTTGCCAGTAAGGCAAAAAAAAGAAAGTGCCTGAGAAGTGTGGGAGGCCGCCCATAGCTGGAGCGTGGATGTGCCGAGGACGCAGCCTTGTGAGTGCATCGCCAGGCAAGGGACTTCCCTGAGTGAGCGTCTTCTGCTAGGAACGGGGGCAGGGCATGGGGTGGGAGGAGACAGGCACTCCCCGGCCTGCAGAGCTGCTGTGGGTCCGTCCATGATGCCAACACGTCCAAGGGAGGCGTGTGACAACGTGGGGGCTCAGAGAAGCTAATTGTGACCACATTCCCCTGGACGAGGGTGAAGGAATCAATGGTGGGGAAGACAAGCCACCTGACATCTGCTCTCAGCTGGGGATGACGGTCTTTCTCCAGCTGTTCCTACATTTGGGGGCAAATTCCTCTTCAGAACCTGTCAGTCTTACTGATGCTGAGTCCGTGTTCACCGAGCTCCATCTTCTAGATGATCTGATGGCTAAGATGCTGGGGAAATTGAGGAAGGTCTGGAACGGGGTAGAATCACCCACTGTCAATGTAATCTTTTTTTTTTTTTTTTTTTTTTTTTTAAGATTTATTTGACAGACAGAGATCACAAGTAGGCAGAGAGGCAGGCAGAGAAAGACGGAGAAGCAGGCACCCCACTGAGCAGAGAGCCCGATGCAGGACTCGATCCCAGGACCCTGAGATCATGACCTGAGCCGAAGGCAGAGGCTTAATCAACTGAACCACCCCGGGACCCCAGAAGTGTGGCTTTCGGTTATGCCAACTGCCCCTCAAAGGAGAAGAGTCTGTGTCTACACCCACGGCTGAGCGTTCAGCTCTGCTCCAGGTGTCTTGGGAGGTCCTTCCAGAGCTAGTAAGACCAGCAGTGGCCCCCTTGTCCCATTCCCCATCACCCCCCATTTGGCCACCTCATATAGCCATCTTGATGATCAGTTAGAATAAGAACCCCTGGCGAAGTGACACTTTTTGTTCCCTGAGTAATCCGTGGTGTCTGCCGGTCACAGGTTACCATATGACAGGGTCCAGCTCAGATAAAGCTTACAACCTAGTGAGTGTGACACCATCTCCATGGCTTATAGTGTCCCCACCATCTGTGGAATGGGCTGGACATCCAGGGACAAGACATTCTCAGAGGGAAGTTACTGGGTGTGTTTTTCTGTTCCCTCTACCTGGGGTTTCCGGACTTAGGTGCGTGGAATAGCTTTAGTGGGGACAGAAAACGAGATCAGTGGGCAGGGTTTTAGGAGGCAGGAAGATGTGGCCCTGCATTCTGGCCTGGCCTCATACGTGACTTCGGAAACACGGAGCCATCAAAACTGGTCTCCCAGGATTAAATGACTTAACACAGGGCTTGACCCATAATAGTTGCTCAGTAAATGTCTGCTCTTCTGAAGCTTCTCCTTCAACATCTAGTCAGTACGCATTTTGTGTTTTTCAAATGAATGGAACCTCTCATCAAATCTGTTCTGTGTCAGCCTTGATTCTAATACTTCTCTGTCCTTTTCTTGCCGGTTTACAGAATCCCATCATACCTTGGATTTTGGTGCTGTCAGTCTGAAAAGCAGATGTACCTGTTTGGTACTCTAGAGGGAATGTCCTTCCCTGAATGAAAAAGCTGGGCCATTTGGGGATTTGGAGAATAAAGGTAAGAGATTTCTCCTCTTGAACAAAAACTAGCCTTTGGAATCCGTGATCTCCTGCAACACAAGTTGGGTTGTGGTTCTTGACTTCTTGGCCTGGTTTCCTGTGCTGATTTGAGAAGCCGACTTCCCGTAACCTCACCCTGACATCTGGGACTTGGTTCTCGGCATTCGGTGGCCTCAGTGTCATGCTTTGGGAGCGCTCCCTCTGTGTCTAGCCAGGGATGGAGCCCACCCCCTCCTAAGTGGATACCCCGCACCCTTCCTTCTGGTCGAGGCGGGCGGATACTCCCCTGTCCTGCTGAGACGTATGGAGACTGCATCACTGGGGGAGATGAGATGGTACATTGTGGGCAAAACACCTTTTGGGTGTTTGGGGGGAGACAGAATCCCTGTCACCCTCCCACCCCCTTGCATTTCATGCTTAGTCGTTCCAAGTCCGAGGCTGTCTGGGGTAAAGGAAGAGGTGAAAACCCAGGGTTTCGGGCAGACCTGGGTTTTCCTGGCTTTGCCACCGTAGGCGGGTCACTCAGCTGCTCCAAGCCTCAGTTCCCTCATCTGCAAGATAGGGATCGCGTCAGCTCTGGCCTCAAGAGGATGTCGCGGGTATTGAATAAGATGGTGGAGATAGTTCATCAGGCTGCCTGACATGGAGAAGGAAATGCTCCAAAACAGGAGGGGTTTTTTGTTTTTTTTTTTTTCTTTTTCTTTTTCTTTTTTTTTTTTTTTAAAGAATTATTTATATATTTGAGATAGAGAGAGCAATAGCGGGAGGAGCGGAGGGAGAGGGAGAGAGACAATCTCAAGCAGATTCCATGCCGACTGCAAAGCCCAGTGGGCGGCTCCAGCTCAGGACCCTGAGACCACGACCTGAAGTGAAACCAACAGTCCAACACTTAACCAACTGCACCACCCAGGCACCCTGGGGTGGTGGTGGTTGTTGTTTAAACTCGTTAACTACACCATGTACAGTTCCTTCCGCACAGCAGGCTCCTTCCAAGTCCTTGGTCTGCTCTTCTCTCTGTGTTTCCGCTCCCAGCAGGTCCCCCTTCCCTGAGCGGAGTGCCTGACTTCCTCCCGCGATCTAGGGCATGCCTCCCTCAGACCCTGTCGTGTCTCTCCCCGACCCACGCCCACGCCCCCAGTCGCTCATGACCTTGTTTAGAGCAAGGCCTGTCTCCACATCCTCACAGCCCTCCCGACACCCACCTGATACTACTGTGGATGTTTTAAGAACAAAGGAATGAGTAACTAAAAAGGAGGAAGGAGAAAGTAAGAGAACACCAAAAGAAGAAAGTTCTTAAAGACTTAGAGCAAAGAATGAGGTCAGTTGCAACTTTTTTTCTTTAAAAAACAAGGTGTTGAAAAGAATGAATCACAACGGAACATGGAACCATGGTTCAGGTGGGGACCCATGAGAGGACAGGTGTGGCCGTCAGAGGGAGAGGACAGCAGAGGACGGTGTCCATGTGCCTGTGTCTTTTCTCTTGTGTGTTAAATGTGTCTGAGTGCACTTGTATCTCTCCTCTCCTGTGCCCCCCGTGGTCCAGTGACCCACATGGTGCGAGTGTGAGGCCCCGCCCTCCACTCAAGGTCGGGGAGATTGACGCGCACCTGGGGTTCTCTAGACTCTCCACAGGCAGGGCAGGGCAGGGTCACGGGGGCTTTCTGGGGAGGGGGGGAGGTGGCACATGAGTGAGACCTAGTAGGAGCCAAGCCGATTTGCAGTTGGGGTGCCTGTGCACCAGCATCCTGGTGCACCTGTGTCCCCACTGCCGTGTCAGGAGCTGATGGCCCGCTTTGGGGTCAGAGCTCTTCTACACTGAGTGTCGCTGCCCGGCCAACCTGGTCTGCTCTCCAGCGCTCAGCCAGTCCCTTGCCGTTTGCTTCCGCAGCCCACGCTCCGGATCCAGGTAGCCGACTTCAGAAGCGGGAGTACGGTGAAAGTGCCTCAGCCTCTTGTGGGATCACCCTTTTCCCCGGAGCACCTGGCATTAGGGCTGGAACAAGCTGCTCCCACTGGGAATGCAGACAAGGGCTGATGGGACTCTAGTCATTGGCGGGACGAGCTGCGAGCTGGGAGCACCATCTCTTGCTGCCGCAGCCGTGAACATGAACGGTATTGCCTTCATTCTGTGAATGGAAGAGCGGCCTGACCCATCAGTCTGGGGGTGACGGGAAAGGAGCGTCCCCAGAATTCAGCTGCTGGGAGTAGGCAGATGGCGCAGGGGTGGGTGCTGAGCTTCCGAGGAGCAGCGTGGTGAACACCCTGGCAGGGCTGGTCTGTGCTGGGGCCTCCGAGAAAGGCGTGCACGCTGTGCTGGTGCGTGTGGTTCTGGCCGCCGGAGGACACCGTCGTTCCACCGGGGGCCTGTCTGCCGGCACCCCTGCCGTCTGTGAGCCTGGGTCCTGGAACAGAGGTACCAGTACGCCTGCATTCTGTCCCACCTCCCCCTCCTAGGGCCCCGGGGACCTGGGCAGGTCCTTCACCCTCTCCAGGCTTCTTGTCTCTCAGTGGCAAAATGGACCAGTCCCCCCTCAGGCTGGTCTTGAGGAGCCCAAAGCTGGTCTGAAAAGAATGCTCAGCCAAAGGGAGCACTTGCTGGCTTCTCCACCTCCTTACCTGTCTACCTTCTGATGGTTGATTTTCCCATCCCCACCCCTGCTTGGACATACAGACAGGCTTGCCTTCTAGACCCTTTGACCCTCACCTTGCTGTTTTGGACTCTTCTCCTGCCACTGTTCCCCTGGGAGTGTCTCTCGGCTCCCACGAGATCTTCTCAGGCTGCCGCCGGCCCTGACCTTTGGGGGAGAGGGTGTCTGCGAGCTCCTGCTTGCCGGCCTGTTCGTGGACAGGAGCCAGCCCTGGTCCGTGGCCACCGCTGTGTGGTCGCCTCCTGTATTTCCCAGTCTGCAGCACTGAAAGAGCTCCCGGCCCACTCGGGACTCTGGGCTTGAAACAGAAAACATATTTTCACCCAAACACCTCTGCCATTAGCCCATTTGACTATTTACTCTAGTTCTTGTGGTTTCATGCTGAGGTTTTTGGCTCATTGCATTTGACCTGGAGTTTATTTTTAGTAGTGAAGACAGAGTTCGATTAATGTCAGAGTGTGAGGGCAAATGCAGAAGAGGGATTCATAAGTCTGAAGGAGAATGTGCCTAATTTTGTTGTTCCTGTCCCTACCTGCCATGCCAGCAGACACCAAGCCTCCTCAGCTGTGCTCCCGTGGGCTCAGGCAGAGGCAGGCACGGTGTCCTCACCATCCCCGGAAAAAAAAGTGTTTCTGGGACTCTTTCGGGCGCACTGGGCCAGCAGCTGGCTGCACAGATGGACAACCACTGCGGTTATCATTATGTGTGATCATTATTATAATTATTATTAGAGTAAAGGCCAGACATTGTCACTTTGGCTCTTGTTATGTCTCCAGTGGGCTTCATTGTCTCCGGAAGCAGCCTCCGACTTTCTGTAATACCAACTTTTCCCCTGCAGTGTAAATATTTTGAGTGTCTTGTGCTCTCTCTAGTCCCGGCTTTTGGCATCACGACAGGCACACAGGACGTGCTTGGGAGATTTTTTTCTTGGACCGACTGAGTTTGGGCTAGAAAGTTGGAAACAAGGCAGAAAGCCCTCCTCTTTCAAGGGCTCCCCAATATGCTTTGGAATCAACCTAAGCACGATCCTCTGCTTTAGGGCTTTCCATTTATGAAGGCCTCCCTCATCCTTCCTCCTGCCTCTTCGGGCACGAGTCTGGACCGAGAGCCTACAGCATCCCACTCGGTGGGCATCCGCAGTAAAGGAGGGAGGAGCCACCATTCCTGCTCTGAAGGCAATCTGGGAATGGAGACTGGCTTTGTCGATCCCTGATGTCTTGGACAGCATGTCCGTGCCTTCCCAAAATTCATGTGTTGAAATCCTACCCAGAGCACCGTGGTCTTAGGAGGCGGGGCCTCTGGGAGGTGATGAGGTCATGAGGGTGGAGCCCTCGGCCATGGGATTAATGTTCTCAGAAAAGGGACAGGAGAGAGTCACTTCTCTCTGTCTCTGCAGTGAGAGGGCGAAACCAGAAGACTGAAATCTGCCAGCCCCTAAGTTGTGGACGTCCATCCTCCAGGACTGTGAGAGATGAATGTCTGTCATTTAAGCCACCCCATGGGTGGCATCTTGCGATGGTAGGCTGAGCAAACTGGGATGAATGATCTGGAGACTCAAAGAAATGGTGCCGGTAATGAACTAAATGTTCGTATGCCCCCACCTCACCCAAATTCACAGCCTACAACCGTCTATCCCAGTCTGGCTATATTTGAGTGAAGGGAATAAGCTTAAATAAGGCCAGAAGGGCGGGATCCTGACCTGATCAGATTAAGGGATGCTCTCCCCATGTCACAGGGAGCTGCACTGGGTCAGCCCATCCTAGTGTGTCTCTTGGTACCTCTCACCCCAGGTGCCCCTGATTCCTTCCAGGTCGCTTCCCAGCTTGGGCACCACATTCTCTCTGGTGAGAAACCCTTCCCTTCCTGCTCCTGTGGGATCCAGGTTTGTCTGGGTGGCTGGCTTCTAGGTTTGTAATGAGCAAAGTGACAGCCCCACATGGCACACAGCAGTCTCGTGGCCTGGTTCCTCTGGTTGCTTCCAGAAGCCCCGCACTGCTGCCCTCTGGGTCCCCATTGTCACTCTGAGGAATGACCAGCTTGCTGGAATTCCCATTCTTCTGCTCCAAGCCATTTTCTCTCCCGTTTCGTCACTCTGGCAGAACGAGTCGTGGTGGGTGCCTTTGGGAAGAAAACACCCATCAGTGGGATGGATGCAGGCTGGCCTGTGAGGTGGTGGTTGTTGTTCTTGTTGTTTTAATCTCCCTGCAAAAATAAAACTTCTATTAAAATGAGGGAACTGACCCCTTTCAGCATCATACAGTGTTTGGCCTCAAAGACTCATGGCCGTTTTTGTGCTGCTGCGGACCAGAGGCACCCTGGCTTTGTGCCTGTGGGAAATCAGATGGGGGAGGGAGCTTTAAAGAGGTTGGATTAAGGGAAAGTTTCATAAAAATTAAAGTAAGAGGGAAAAAAAAGAAAAAAGAAAAACCAATTTAAATGCCATCCTCTCTGAGCTTGCTTCTTTCCTGTCAGCCCCTGCCCTTGCTGGGATGGGAGGGAATTGTGCCCTGAACTGACCTCAGCTGGAGAGGTGGAGCAGAAGGGACCCAGGAAGGAGATCTGAACCCTGGTCTCTGCTTTGCCACCCACCAGCCCTGTGCTAGGAGGAAGGGTCTTGGTGCTTCTGAGCCTCAGTTTCCTCGCTGCCCAGCGAGCTGCTCTGAGCACCAAAAACATTGTAGCCTGACTCTTCTAAGACGCCGGAGATGTTCCACCAGTGGTCGAGATGATGCGTTCACTGGCCATCTGCTTTGGGTTTTCAAACCTGACTGTCCCCAGTGATGATGGAAGGGAGCATCAGACAGTCGTCAGAGGAGCAGACATCGAAACAAATTTTCCAGGAGTCATGATTTTTACCTGGACCCCCGATGCTTCCACTCTCCCGTGCATATCCTACACACATATTTTTAAACAAACTTTACTTTAATACAGATTTCTGTTTTACCAGGAAATTGTGACAGTCCTTCTGAAGGGTCCCACATATCCCACACAGTTTTCCCTACTATGAACATCTTATGTTAGTGTGGCACATTCGTTATAATGAATGACCAATATTGATTTGCTATTCTTAACTGCAGTTTATACTTATTATTATGATTTTTTTTTAGATTTCCCTACTTTTCCCCTGATACTCTCTTTACTGCCCAAGGTTCCCATCCACTCTACTACATCTAGTCACTATGTTTCTTTAGGCTCCTCTTGGCTGTGACAGTTTCTCAGACTTCCTTTGTTGCTGATGGCCAGTAGGTCAAGTGCCTTGTAGATTGTCCCTCAGTTAGGATTTGTCTGATGTTTTACCCAGCAATGGACTGGGATGATGGCTTTGGGAAGGAAGACCCCAGGGGCAAAGGGCTATTTCACCACACCATATCAAGCAATATACTGTCACCTGAGTAATCACTGTTAATGTTAACCTTGACCACCTGGCTATGGTGCCATTCATCAGATTTCTCCATTGTACTCTATTCTCCCTGCCCCACCTTCTCCTCTGTGCTTAGTCGGATGTCACTGTGTACAGCCCACACTTAGGGAGCAGGAGACTATGCCCCCTTGGTGGTGGAGCAGTTATGCACTATGTGGGATTCTTCTCCATTGGGCAATTTTTCCTCCGCGCCATCCGTATATATGTGCATAGATATCTGTATCTGTTTCTATATCTGTATCTCAATATGGAGTCAAGGATATTGATTATATACTTTGGATTAAAATCCAGTATGACTTTCTTTATTTGCACACGTTTTTCTAGCTTTGGCCATTGGGAGCTCTTTCTGTGGGCTCCTCTGTCCTTTGACATACCATTATTTTGACATACCTTCCATTATTATAGGAGTTTTTGTTTGCTTGCTTTCTTGTTTGCTTGTTTTTGAGTGTTTCCTTACTTTCTGGCACTACTTATATATTTCCTGTCCCAGACCTAGAATCAGCCATTTTCTCAAGGAGCCCAGTTTGTTGTATCAGCAAATGGTATTAGAAACCAAGATGTGGGTATGAGATGTGCTCACAGCTACTGGGATGTCACTGTTCCTAGGCCTTCCCAAAGACAGTGATGAAGTGCATGTGTATATACTAACCCACATCCAACCACATGTGTATACTAACCCACATCCAACTACATGTATATACTAAACCACATACAACCATACTCATATACTAACCCACATGCAGCCATGCGCGTATACTAACCTGCGTATACCAACACGTGTATACTAACCCAAATACAGCCACGTGCATATAGTAACCCGTGTATACCTACCCACACGCATATACTAACCCACATCCAACCCCACACATATACTAACCCAGGTCCAGTGGCACATGTATACTAACCCGCATATACCCACATGTGTATAATAACCCGTGTATACCCATACACATATAAATATTTGCATAGTTATTGGTCCAAATCTATTTAAGCTAACCATGAGTTCCACTGATGCCCCAGCTGTAGTCCATTACTGTATCACATACTATTGAACAGACTTGTTTTTTCCAGCCACCTTGATTGGCAAGAGGTGGTGATGAATGGTGAGGTCCAGAAGTCCACATGGGCAGAGAGCCGTGGGCTAAGAACACTGGACTTTTCCCTGTGGGCAGTGTGGTCTCATGTGCAGAAGCGACGATGATCTGGACACTTGTGACAGAGACTCAGAGACGTGTCCTGCCCAGAATACATGTAGACCAGGATGCCATCACGTGCACATCAACCTTTGCTCATTTCTCCCTGGGCCTGTGTGCCCTTCTTGGCCCCTTGGCCTTCCTGTCCTCC